CCGGCTCGCTTCCCTCTAGGCCACCGCATCCCTCTAGGCCTCCGCTTCCCTTTGTTCTCCCTCAAGATCTCACTTGGCCAGCTCGGATCCGGAGTTAAAAACTTCGAATTGTGAGTACATTGTATACCAATAGAAACAAGAGTGTCACTGTCATACCTAATGTACCCAATGGTGATGATTTTGCCGATTTAGAGACGCTGAAAACTAACTTAAAAAACAAAGACAAAGAAAAGGTGGTCGGAGCAGTCGTGACGGCAGCCGACCTCACCAGCGCCATCTTGTTAACTTTGTTAGAATCTAAGAGTTTCTGACCGAAGTCTCAATGTAAGTCATTAATGTGAATTTGTGTGTTTAATGTGCTTGTCAGGAATAAGGGTGAGTGACGACATGCTGAATCTGATGGCTCTGCGCTACGGCGCCTCCTCTGGACACATGACGCTGGAGAGCTTCATCAGTCTCATCCTTCGCTTTGACTGCATGAACAGTAAGTGAAGACAAGTGGGACAAGCTATGATCTGTTTATTTCTGTTTGCGATTTATCTGAAGTAAGTCAATCAAAAAATACAACCTCACAATGGAAAACTTGAACCTTTTTGTTGTGGAAGACATTAATTTTATACGTATCTTTTAAGAGATTCAATTAATTTTTGCTCATCAACAGAAATCTTCAGACAGTTATCTGATGGAAAAGCCATGACTCTTCAAGAGTCTGAGGTAATAAAGCCAGCTTGTTCTCATTAGTACATTTTATAACACATGTTGATTCATTTTGAAGTTCAGAGGAAAGAAAAACACATTATTTTTAAAACTGAAAATAAATTTATATACTATTCATAAATTATTTTACACGAAAGGAAACAGTTGCATACTCCTTGTGCATACCATGAGCTACTTTGTGACCAAGTAGGGCATGTCCGGGATTTTAAAACACGTTGGTAAGGTTAGACAGTTAGCAACTGTTAATGTGTTAAGGGCAAACTTAGATTGGCATTTGCTAAAAGTTCAACTGATTTCACTTATATCCCTCAAGTGCAGCTTTTTTGAATGTTGTTATGATTAAAGTTTTTGAGAGTTACAAATATAGCCATCAAAGAGGGATGAAAGATACTGAGCCTTTTATCTTGGCCAGCTTTTATAGTTCAGCAGTCCGAGGAGAGCTATGTCAGTTGAAGACTCTCCCATGTCAGCCAATGATCAAGAAGAGTAAATGGTAAATGGCCTGTATTTATATAGCGCTTTACTAGTCCCTAAGGACCCCAAAGCGCTTTACATATCCAGTCATCCACCCATTCACACACACATTCACACACTGGTGATGGCAAGCTACATTGTAGCCACAGCCACCCTGGGGCGCACTGACAGAGGCGAGGCTGCCGGACACTGGTGCCACCGGGCCCTCTGACCACCACCAGTAGTAGGCCAGGATGTCCTTGGAGATAGGTGGAGGGGCTGCACATACTGCACTAACAACCTGTCTCTCTTTATTTCCAGTGGATGTACATTTCGATGTACACTTAACGCAAAGGAATGGACGTTTGATGCACAGTTCATCTGCACGCACTGAAGAAGAGATCCATGTATATTTTTTCTGCTAAGCTCTAAGTTGTCGTTTAGATAATTGCCAAAATGCAAAATGCTTTCAAGATAACTTTTCTCAAAAAGTAGACATTTCTATTTTTAATTGTCATTTACTTGGCAATTTGTTTTTTACTGAGACAGACAGAGAAGACAGAAACTTATTGTAGAGGGAACAATCTGAGATATATAACGTGAATATAAATAATCAATGAAAATTAAATACTACAAGAATGTGCTTGCATGTAAAAGGCGGCTCTGAATTAGTAACTGTTCTAACAGAAAAACAGGGAAAAGGCTATAAAGGATGTTTTTTCCTTGTGCACTTTGAGCTCATTAAACACACATAGATTACTGTATGTGAGGGTGCAATGTTTGGCCATGATGCTTTATTGATTAATTCATCACTCATTACTGACACAACAGTGCAAGAAAGCACCAGTGTGGTTGGAATCAACATACTGTTGAAATGATTTTATATCGTTATTCAAATGCAGCTCTTTTTGATAAATGCATTATGCACATATGTATCTGGCTTTTTCTTATTTTCCCACTGTCAACTCCTCATTTCAGGTTCAGGTTACTTTTTACATATAAGGCTCAATCATTTGGAAAGCATTCAGGGCCATTATCAAAAACACTCAAAATCACTGGAAAATTTACTTACACCAGTAGCCTTGCTAAATGTTTGTAAATATTCCAAGACAGTACCAAGAGTTTCCCCTCTCAAGCATTTCAGAAGGTACAAAGGGAATGTTAATCCACAACACTGTAGTGAAATTAACAGGAAACACATATTCCCAGTATGTCAGCGTTTCTTCAATGGTTCCCTGTTAAATCTTGAGTTAAATTTTAAAAACTTTCACTTACATATAAAAGTCCTAAATACTCAAACCCTGTGATATCTTACACACCTCAAATACCATGTTAACTTAATAAAGAACTTTCATCCTCCACTGCAGACTTACTTGCTGCTTGTAGAGAAACTCTGTCTGCTTTTGAGATTAGTCTTATGCTGTTATAGGCTCAGGATTCTGCTGAGCTTCCCATGATGCTCTTAACATTTATTCTCACCTGTTTTCAACTCCCCAAACACTTACATACCACTGCTACATGTCATTAAAGTTTGTCTTTTCTGTCACATGGCATGCGAATGGTCTTTGTCTTCGTCCCTTATGCTTTCCTTTTTCTACACTCAGCAGTGGGCGATGACATTAAAAAGGAAGTTTTCCTTCCCACCTTTGCTACCTTTATCCATATTAGATCATCCTCTCAAATGGGCGGAGAGACCAGTCAATGGCCCACTGGTAACTGGCGGTTGCTAGGGAAAAGGGTGTATTCTGGCACCGGCTGGTGATAACATTGTTTGCAAAGAGATATATAACGTTGCACTGAAAATCTCCTTGTGATTGCTTTGATTGCTAGCAGGCTTCCACAAATACCAGTCATTTTCATGGAAGCAGCAGTGAAACTGTGAAAAAGGGGATTAGTGTTGGGGTTGTTATTCAAAAAATAATGTATTACACATTAGTCATTATCCTAAGTCTTGCTGCTGGGCTGGTCTCGGCATTGACTTAGTTTTATCATCACTTTGGATCCTTGGGTTGCTTTGTGTTAGCATGCTAGTGTCCTATAGAGTCCTTTTGTGCAATAAAAATAAAAGTACTTTCTATACCGTTTTCCTCCTGTAACACTTGGTTGTCCATTGGTTGCGGCAGGAGGATACAATTTTTATTTTGAAAAGTTGTATCCTACTGCTTTCTCTGTGTCCACTTTGGATTGGAATTTCTTGGACGTTTCTTATTACAGCTCAGAGAGTAAGTAGCGAGTTTCTGCAGACAAGTTGGCATCTTTTGTGCAAACTACCAGTGGCAACCTGCTTGTGAATAAAAGCGTCACAAGGCCAGCAGCAACAAGTACCATCTAGCAGCCACCAGTTAATCTATGCTTTCACTTCAGTTAGTTACTAAATTTCAAGAACTTTGAAAGTTTCTTCAAGTGCAACATAGAAAAAAAACCATCAAACAGAAAAATAAAGGTTCTCGTTAGGGTCTCACATAATAATAAAGCAAGACTTCTCTCAGTTCAGAGGATAAATTCATCAAGTTACTGGCCTGAGAAAAAGCCAATTAATGGTACACAACATTAACATTTCCGAGTTCAAGCAGCAGACACAACTGAGCATCACCAGCTCTGAGATACATACAATCAAAGAAACCATTACTGAGGGAGACCAAGAAGGAGGATCAAACTGCTTTGTTAAACACACACACACACACACACACACACACACACACACAGATCCCAACAGTGTGTGAATGGATGTTTGCTTTACAGCATTTTCACACATCTGCTTTATAAATAGTGGAACAATTATTTGCTTCGCAGAAGGAACAAGACTTACAGCAAAACAAAGGCTCTGTGAGGGCTACTGGCCTGAAACACACCTTTTTTGGGTTGGGGTATAGCATGAAGGCAAATCCACTTCCTCCTGGGTTGTTGGAAAAACTCCAGGTGATGAGCTCATGAAGGTCCTGTAGAGAATAAACATGAATGAATGAGTTAAATGGTAGAGGTGGAGTACACCTTGGACTGGTCACCTGGCAAGAAACTTTTTATATATTTTTTAAATTTCTAAAGCATTCAAAGTGATAGAGGGAAGTAACCATAAAAGTGTCTTGGTAAGAAAAAAAAAGTTGTCAAAGAAGACTCAAAGACAGCAAATCTACATATAAAATACAATTTTATTTAAAAAATGTAACTTTACAGGCAGCTATGCAGCTAAATATATAAAAACCCACAAGACAAATTATTTTTAAAGGTCCCAGAAGCTGGAAAAAAGAGAATTGCTGAAGATCACAAAGAAAATGCTTTATTCAAAGAAGGAGAACGCAACCTCTCACTATTAGCTTAGGATTGAAACTGACCCAATGAAGTTTGCTGCTTCCTTTCCCCAATATAAAAGGAATTTTAAAAAGCAGCTGATATAGAAAAATACATATAAAAACAAATGTACAGTTAAATGTGACATTTTTTTCTTTGAATTTCCATATTCCTAGATTTTTTTACATTTATTTACTTATCAGTTTAATTTCCCATCCACTTCATTCATTTTTGATTCATACAGTAGTCCCATGTCATTCACTAACATCTGTATTTTGTTTCTATTAAAACTAGAGATGGACCGATCTGATATTACGTATTGGTATCAGTCCAATACTGACCTAAATTACTGGATCGGATATCAGAAAGAAATCGGAGAGAAATAAAAAATGTAATCCGATCCATTAAATATCACGTAACTCAGCTCATAACCTTAGCACGTCGAGCAGTATGCGTGACGTGATAGAGTGGCTGTGGCGTGCGAGACCTCTCGGTGGTCTGGTTGAGTGTTTGGAGCCTCGCTACCAAACCAGCATTTTATCTCCAAGAAAGTTATCCCAGAGAGAAGTAAAGCAAGTGTGTAAATTCATCTCTGAATGTTTGTACAGCATTCCCATATTAAGCCCTGCCTCTTCTGCAGGGGCGGGTGTAGCAAAATTTAGCCAGGGGGGCCGATAGGGCATTAACAGGAAAAGGGGGGCACAAAACATACTTTTCTTTCTTATTCTCAGTTAAAATGTCTAGCTTTTAATAAATAACTATCTGAATCTTACACCCAAAGTTTTAATCTGATGTAAAATGTATAGACGTCCATTACTGTATATAGTAACTATTAAGTCTAATATACCCTAGGAAGCTACTTTTTTCCTTTGGGAAGGTTCCATTTGTGCAGTCTGCAAATTTGTTGAAGAAAGATGTTAAGCATCATGAGGTGGAGGGTGGGGGTGCTTCCCTTTTTTTCTTCTTTTTTTTTTTACTGGGAGTTGGCAACCCTATTAGTTAGGTTGCTTAATATTTCCGCTAAGTGCTCTTTAAAATACCAGAATAAGGAGGATGGTGTAGGTTTAAGTTTATCAGATTGATCAGTTTTGCTGAACTATGAAATATTTTGGGTGCAGTGTATTTTTTGCATACAGGTTTAACAGAATAGCTTTATTTTATTTTTTTTAAACTTCAGTATGAACTTATACAAAACACAGCAAGATATTAAAAAACAGTTTTATTGATTAAAAAATACACTATATCGGATTCATGTCGGTATCGGCAGATATCCAAATTTATGATATCGGTATCGGTATCGGACATACAAAAGTGGTATCGTGCCATCTCTAATTCAAACACAGATTGACAAGTTTGCAATACTATTTATAAATAAAAAGCAGTTATTCAGTCATTGACATAATATGTAGAGAGGCATATGGTTTACATATGGTTTCACATTATTGTGTTTAGTTGTTTCAAAGTAACAAAGTGTTATAGCTAATTCACAGAAAACAAGTTTTTGAAATATCTTCTTGTGTTTTCCAGATGAAACGTGCCATCTGTCTTTCAGATGGCTTAAGTGTACATGGAAACGTACATCCACTGAAATTAAGACAGAGATTATTTATTAATAACATTTAAGTATCACCATTTAAACGAATGCATTTTCTTTGTATAAATATTTATATTTATTCATTCGTTTGCTCTGTCAGCACTAAAGTGACTTTATTACCTCTGACTCCTTGAGATTAATGGATTTTCCATCAGACAACTGTTTGAACATTTCTGTTGAAGAACACAACTTTGAGTTTAAACTGTACAAATCATGAACCTTAATCAAATCTTAGAAGCGAGAAAGATGTTTTCCACTGAAAAAACTTTTCATTCTGACTGCATGAGATTTATTTTCAGCTATCTACACATCTACTGTTGTTATTTCTTCTCGGCTTCACTTACTCTTCATGCAGTCCAAGCGAATCATGAGATTGATGAAGTACTCCAGTGCCATGTGTCCAGAGGAGGCGCCATAGCGCAGAGCCATCAGACTGAGCATGTCATCTGAAACCTTCATTCCTGAAGGTGAATGAACACACACAGTCAGACTTCAGGAGGAGTTTGCTTATCTATCCATCTATCCATCTATCTAATTGCATTATTAAGCTGGTATGAAATCCCATGCCATTTGTGAGGATGACAGACAATAGTCACAATATTCAGCCATGTGCAAAGTCATAAGGATGACCTGACATCAAGAGTAAGTAAGTAGGATGTGGGCCAACAGCTGGACTCGGGATCATCTAATCTTGCCATCAGGCTTTAAATATGTTTGGAAAACAATCTCATCCAGCTCCAAAGGAGCTATTCAGGGCTTTGGTTGTTTCATGGGATGGGTAGTGTACAGGGAGGGAGGTTCTCTGGTTGAACCTGTCCTGTCTGGCTGATGCAAATAAAGCAGAAGTCACAGATAAAGGTATATTTTGCCTAACCAGATAATAAGGACAAGGGGGGCAGGTATTTGCAGATATTAGGAACCCTCATTTCCCCTCATCCAAATGCACCAGGAAGTGGTTTGTGTGCTTGTAACTTTATGATGATAATTTTTATCCAAACATTAACATGTTTACTGTGACGTTTACAATATCATCTATATAATGAATATATATTAATTATACAATACTATACTATAATTCTTGTATTTTTTCTAATGATAATTTATGCAGTTAAACTATAATCTAGAATTGTATTACATAATTTAATGTGATTCAGTGTTGCAGTATGAAGCACAGAATTGTTTTTTTTGTTCATACTATTTATATTTGAACATATTACATTTATATTAAATGTACTGAATCCTTGTCTGATATACCTGAAGCTACAAATGCGTTCCTCAGCTCACTCAGTGACAGCGTTCCTGTTTTTGAAACGTCGGTGAGGAAGAAAGTCTCCTGATAAGAGAAGACTGAAACCATGAAACTGATCAGGGAAAATCTTCACATCTATAGCAGATGTATTGATATATGTTTTAAGGCTGTTTTT